TGCGTGCGTGCGTGCGTGCGTGCCTGTGTGTGTGTGTGTGCGCTTGCTCCTTGGGCTTGCCACTTCCTTGACAAGCTCGAACTAAGGGTTTCAGCCAAGCCACCGTGTGCAGCCGCCACTGCTGGGCCGCGAGGGCAGTTAGCGTTGGCCCAGCGAAAACCAGAACCTGAGACAGGCCCAGCGAGACAACGGAAAGTCAATGCCGACGGCCGAGTCCTGTGCATTGATTTTTGTTAAAGCAAGCTCGCGGCTTAATGCACAGATTTTGAAATGTCCATTCGCCTGGCTGTGCGTTCCCGTTTGCCGGGTCCCTGGTTTGCCCGGCACCTCGGGACCCATTCGCCCGACTCCTGTGCGTTGATTTTTCTGTTCGTATTGGAGTGTCCAAACTTCCAGATTCCAGATTCGATGCGTTCCCCAAATGCACATGTAGATCCACAGGAAATTTGGCCAACACTCGTCAGCCACGATTTGACGGCAGCTGCTGCTGCTGCTTTGGTTTATAGCGCATTTACACACAGAGAACTGCCTGGGTTAGACTGTTAGTTGGATTGTTGATGAAACCGCATGCTGGGTAGGCCGCACGTTGATACATGGGATGAGATCCGAACATACAATCCCTACTGTAACCATCTAAGGGCCAGACGAGCCTTTCACGCTCTGTTGTCTTCAACCACATCAGAACAGGACAGAAAAGCACACATGTACCGCAAAAACTGATCTCCCTCTTTGTCTCCTGGAGGTTATTCAAGCAAGCAGCCATTGCCGCCCGGAACTCAAAGCCCGTGAGCGACATGTCCAAACGAATCAACCTGCGGAGAGCTTCTGGTGAGAAGGCCGGAAACAACAATCTTGCTTTCCTGAATGCTACAAGTACTGGCTTGGGCATTCTTGGATCACATGGTCGAGAAACGCAGTCGCGATGACCATGAAGAGGAGCACCACCAGCCAGCAGGCGATGATGGCCTGTGCGACAGGCAGGCCACCGCCCGACGTCGCTTCAGTTCCCTCACTTCACCACCACTCGATGCAGTCAACCTGGAACTGCACTCCACGAATGGCCTTGTTGGAAATCAACACGTAGCCGATCACCTCGGCTCGAGAGCACGACATGTTGGCCTTGCGATGCTTCCAGATGTGAGTGGGAGCCTCGAGGGATGGCACTCGACGCTGCTCTGGAGCCAGGCAGCATAGTATGACAGGCCCAAGATCAACTGATTGGTGCCCATGCTCATCGCCACACGTGCGAAGCCATCGTAAGACCTCAATTTTTCCCCAGGCATCCCGAGATCTGCTCAGCTACTTCCTGATATGTCGGCCCAGGGTCTGCCAATAGTGCATCACCTGCTTGATCAGCTGCAGGTGGCGCTGAGATGCTGGATCTGTACCTTGAAAAAGGGTTCACGACAGCTCCTGCTCAACGGACGTCTTGCTCGCAGGATTGCAGCCGCGATGGCTATCAGTAAGGCAGACATTTCTCCACTGACCCGCAAAGCCCAGCGACGGAGCTTTCCATCCAGCTCGTAGATCTCTTCCTGGCCATCCCCAATGCCAGCAAACAGGCACAAGCTACTGCCAACGAAGCAGCCGGGCCACTCCGTTGCCCTCGAGGCCCCAGAGGTCTGCAGAGGCTGCCGGAGGACCAGTGTCAGTGCCTGCAGAAGTTCGAAACAAGGGGAACGCGGCAACTTGGAAGGCAGAGGGCTCTCATGGGCAAGTGTCAATGCATCGCAAAGTACGGTTCTGGACTGGAGATTTAAATTTCAAGCAGTGCACGGAGCTCTCATTTTCTGATTCCTCGCTTGCGGGAAGTGTTGATCACTTGGCTGCCTCATGGGAACACACGCCCTAGCGTGTGCTTCCAGGCGATAAACGTAAACGGTGATCTTCAGACAAGATCATCCTCCGATGCACTGCCCTGCGGAAGATCTAGACATGCGCAGGACTGGCTAAGTTTGTGGCTGACAGAAACTCCTTCGAATTTCAATGTCCGCACGCATCTGCCAAAGCAGGTGCATCAGCGTGGGTCCAACTATACAAAGCAGGGTGGGTAGCCTCAGCCTTTAGGGACCACGCCGAATAAATGAAAGTCGAACCCTGCTTTGCCAAGTCGTGCCCAGAGAACGATCAGGTGCCCTGTTTGCTAGTTTTCTTTCACCCGCGCTTGCTTGAGGTTAGGGTTGGGGCTGGGGGTTTGGAGACCAGGGTTGACGGATGAGCCTCTTCTATTCCCTCGCAGTGTCACCAGCATCGTAAGGACTGGACCACTGGGCTTGGCAAAGACTGACTTACTAAGCTGAATAACACAGCATGGAAAAGCATAGCAGAAGCCGTGACTCTGCAATGCACTGCCGCAGCTAAACACGCCCTTTCGAGCGATGGGAAGAATCGAGGTGTCCTCCCCGTGCAGTTGTCGATCGAACATGCCGCACCCAAATGCATGGAAACGTCTGGCACGTGCCATCACATGATCAAGATCCTGGATCAAGATCATGCCTGGAAGGTGCTTTCTTCATCTGCGGATTGAAACCTGGTGCGTTTCTTTTGCACGATCTCTCGCAACTCATTGGGGTAAAGCGTCACGTCGTGGAGAAACTTGTTCATCCTCCGCAGATGCTTCCTTAGCTGGTGTTGATACAAAGCCCCAATAAATCTTCAACATTGCCTTGCTGACCTAGAACCCCACAGAACGAGCCAGAGCTGTCTTGCCGGGAGCACTGCCTTCCGTGAACACCCGATGACAAAATGCAGCTGGGGCTCTCATGCAAGCGCCGGCCAGGAGGCAGAGGGACACCTCTCGGACCAAAATGGATACATCCCCGACCCCGGGCATGCACTCGAGATCTGCGTGGTTTCGGTGAGTTTGCAGGGGCAGCTCAAGGCGGTCTGCACGCGTCGTCGATTGAATGTCACGACGCCATGAAAAGACTCCAGCACTGATTCTTGCGGCGCGTGTTGAACCAGTTCACACGATGGTTGATGCCCTGCTGCATGTCATCATGTTTCCGCAAATCTCAGCTGCTGCCTGGAATGCTTTACTGAAGCCTGTGATTATTAGGTTTGGCACCGATGCAGATGGCTACAGCCTGGAGGAATCACGTCCTTCGTGGGTGCAGTCTCCCACGTGTACGAGCAAACGCTCCAGGATTCGTCGTCGTCTTCACCGTCCTGCTGGACATTCGCGCGCACACACACACACACACCCACACACACACACACTCTCTCTCTCTCTCTCTCACACATGTTTGCATTGATTGCTCCCCGATGTCCAGCCAAAATCCGAAAGCCAGGAGCTCTTCAAGCTCGTTGTTCCTCAAAGTCCTCACGACACGAGGAGTCGGTCCAAAGCTTACAGTGCTTACAGCATCGGCCATTCCTAACGTTTCAGGAAATTGGATTCAAGGCACACTTTGGTCCAAAGAAATGGCGCGAACCTTCGATATCCTCTTTGGACCAGGTAGCTAGCAGCTAGGATACTTGCCAGCGTTGGCAGCAACTCCGCTTCTCTCGCAGTCCCAGACTGCCTAACTCCGTGACCACATGCCCTGAAGCACTCCTTCCACTTGGCCTGAATCCATCCGTCTTTGCCCCCAGATCTCCGGCTGCGCGAGTCCTGGATGGATTGCAAGATGACAGTCGAAGAAAGGAGAAATCCTGGTCCTGAGCTCGAGCGTATACTCATCGCAGGCGACCGAGCCGGAGCACCCCATTGCGAGCAGAGCAATTGCTGAGAGTTACTGAGCGGAACCAGACTATGACGGATTGATTGAAGCCATGTCAAGCACTTCTCATAACAAGATACTGCTGCAAACAGAAATCTTGAGCCGAAAAGACCCTCGTGGATCGTTCATGGAGCACATGTCCTTACCGAACTCAGGGAGTCCCGGAGTGCCTTCGGCTGCGCCCTCTTGGTTTGTCAAAGCTGGAGCTGTAGAGCTCGATGCCTCTCCGAGGACCTGAACACGAAGATCACAGCACTTACACAAAAATTTCCGCGTTTTGGGCACGCGTTCTTCAAAGGCTTGCAGACTGCAGTCAAGCGGCTCGCTGCTGCGATCCCATAGCCTGGACAGCAACACACTCTCCTCGTTCTCTGATTTCAGCCCCCTGTCGTGGTCAGCTCAGCCGGCTCCACAAGGCCCAACAGCTCTAATGCAACCAAGCGGCAAAGGGAACTCGAAACATCCTTGGAAGTCGGGCCGCAGTCGTGTCGTGATGGATCCGTAGTATGCTATGCCATGATATCATACATATATATATATATATACATATATGTATGTGTATGTGTAT